TATATATATATATATATATATATATATATATATATATATATATATATATATATATATATATATATATATATATATATATATATCATACACAAACACACTCACACACAATAGAAGACAAGTTTTTTTCCCTACTAATCTTTAATTGTCGTCTTTCAAAGAAAATAACTAGCACAATATTCTATTTTGTGCTCGTGTGAACTTCATAGTTACGTTGATATTTTCCATGTTCGTGATCAAAGATAAAATACTTTTCAAGAAGTATTCTCAGGATCCTTACTTTGATAATTGATTTCTATAAAGATTTGTCTATCGAGATTGCACATAAAAAATGTAGTGTATGTGAACATCTAAAGTGAACAAGACCAAATCATCATATATGTCTATATAGATGATATGTTAGTTATAGGTTCTAATGAAGATGAATAGCCAAAGTTCAAGGAAAGAATGGAGAATGAGTATGAAATATCAGACTTATAAAATTTGGCATACTTCCTAGAAATGGAAATTCTGAACACAAATAAATTCAATATGAGTAATTGCAATACTGCAATCACACCTATGGAGATCAACATCAAATTGAATAAGGAGTGAGAAGATGAACGAGTGGATAGCCTAATATACAAACATATCACTGACTCTTTGAGGTACCTTTGCAACACAATACCAAACATTTATCATAGTGTGAGATTAGTTAGAAGATTTATGGAGCAACCAATGATATATCATCTACTTGTTGTGAAAATAATTCTAAGGTACATTAGAGGTACAACTGACCATGGAATACTCATGTCAAATTAACAAAACACACTAATGGAAGCCAATGTGTATTTCTATTCCGATTCATATTGGAGTGGTGATCAAAATGATAGAAAAAACACATATGGTTATTTGTTTATGTTTGGACCAACACCAATCTCATGCATTTCAAATAAGAAAGAAAATATTGCTTTGTATTTATGTGAGGCATATTGTGTTGTAGTTTACTATGTTGCATGTCAAACACTTTGGTTAAAGATGTTACTTGAAGAATTGAATGTGAACAACTGTGTGCAAATCAAATTGCTAGTGAATAACTAGTCAACAATTGATTTAACAAACCATCATATGATCCATGGTAGAAGCAAAAACATAAAAATAATCTATCACTTTCTTAGGGACCAAGTTAATAAAGAGAGATTGAGAACTGAATATTATAAAATTGAGTTGTAATTGGCAAATATCTTGACAAAACCCTTAAAACATTCAAGATTTGAAAGTCCTAAAGGGTTAATGCGAATGAGGAACTTAAAAAATATGAATTAGAAAGAGTATTAGAATGTAATTAAGTTTCTTAATATGCTTATCGGTGACAGTTTAAAAGTGTTGCACTTGTAACTTGCAACACATGCAAATTGTCACAACTTGATAGTTAAGTTAGTTAATTTTAGACTTTGCCAACTATTTAAAAGTTATATCCTCATTTGTAATTCATTCCATTTCAATAATATCTCCCTTCCTTTCAATTGTGTTTAATTCTCTCTAAATTTTCTCAATTTAAAAATTAACTTGAAACTCAAGTTACTCAACATTGTCCGCTTTGGAAAAAGTCCCACGTTTAGGGATGACAATGAATATCTATAGGTACGTGTATTAGTCTCCCGTTATCCGTCCTATTTAATAAATATGATATACGTATCCGTTCCATATCCGTGCGGGTACTCGTTAGATAGATATCCGTGAATTTTGAGATACTCGCGGATATTTATGGATATCCATGAATATTATTATTTAAATATATTTAAAAAAAAATATTTAAATAATTAATTTTTTTTTATCTCTTTAAAAGACAAAAAATTTATTTTCAAATTTAACACATAACAAATAATAACAAAAATAAATCACATTCATTTTATTTCTTTTTTTATCAAAATAATAATAATAATAATAATAATAATAATAATAATAATAATAATAATAATAATAATAATAATAATAATAATAATAATAATAATAATAATAATAATAATAATAATAATAATAATATCATATTTAACAAAATAATAACAATTATAGTAATAATAGTAATAATAGTAATAATAAATTTTTATCAAACAAATTAATATTTAAGTATTTTTGTTAATTATTAACGAATACAGATACCTGCGGATACGAATACCATCAAATTCATATCTATACCCGTAAATAAATAGATAATCAAATATCTTTATCCGTAGATACCCATTAAATCATCATACCCGTGTTCGTGACGGATTTTACTCGCAGCTATTCACGAATACGAGTTTTTTTTGTCATCCCTAACCTACCCAGTTACTACAGAATCAAGGACAAATGTAATTTAGATACAACACTCACATTCCTCAATTCAATAATACGTCTTTTCCAAAAATAAAATTGTGAAAGGTACCACATTCAAAATGGACAATATCTTGTAAACATAATGCAAGAGACTTGAGGTCAATCAATACACAAAATATGCAAATTCTCTTAATTGGCGTACACAATTGATAAACTGAAAATTATGTGAAACTCCAATGACGACCCACAAGATCTATCAGTAATAAGAATTCATGATTTATTTGTCTAAAAATAAATTAAACAATGACTTGATTGGCGCAAGTTAAAACAAAATCGATATAACTTCAAAACTTAATTTATAATCCATTTTCTTTTCTAATAGAAGCAATCGATCATCATCTTACACATAAAAACAATGAGATCAAGAACTTCTATTTCAAAAGAGTGATATTGATATTTTAAATGATTTTCAAAATCCATCTTACCATAGACTATTTATCAAAGTGTTACATGATAGAACTCACCTCTAAAATTTCTCATGTCAAGTCATTGTTGTAAACTTTTTTATTTGTTTTTGTTTTAGATATTTAATTTTTATAATGTTTAAATTCCATCAAACATTAAAATAGTTAAACACGTAAGAGTTTAAGACAAATATTTCATATTCGTTTGAAATATAACTATAATGTAATTCAATCGATTTTTACTAAACCAACGGTAAATAGAGTTTGCATACCATAACTTCAAAGGTTAATTTCTAGAGTTTATTAAACAATTAAGGTTTTAGAGGCTTTATGTTGAAATGAAAAAATAAAAATAATTACTATATTATAAAATTTCTTTGAAGTGGAGTAAGAGACAAATTCTTTATATAAATGAAGCAACACTTGTTCAGTTAAACAATAAAAAAAATAAAAATAATGAGTACTACTTACTTAACTATTTACGAGTTACAAAAGTGTCCCTCTCTCTTATATATATATAAAGGAGTCACTAAAATTCTTTTCTTATTATTGATTCAAAAATGTCTATGGAAAAAGAAACAAATGGGAATGGAAATGGAAATTCTTTTCTCAACAAACATGCTTGTGCTTGCGTTTTGGCTGCTACTATCATCTCTGCAATATTTGGTTATAGTGAGTGGTTTTCTATTTAATGTATTATAGTTGTGTATTAATCTGGAGAAATAAATTCAGGCAAATTTATGGAACAATAAATTTCAAGGATTATTTATGAATTATGATTACATTTTTTATTTAATGATTTAATAATTAAAATTTCACTTTTAAAGGTGAAAAAAATGGAAGATTTGAACTCGCATAATCGGTTGAATTTTTGCAAGGATAAATTTAAATTAGTAAAAGAGTTTAAAACTAAGATCTTACCTATTACATGTTATAGGTTTGTTTTAATATCTTAGGTCTATGTTTTGAATGTTTTTTTTTTAGTAATAATTATGTTTTAAAAAAAACATAAATAATTATGTTTTGAAAAAATTTATTAAAAAAAAAGGGTGAATTAAAGAGGAGGTGTCACTTGAATTTGTGTCTTCTATATATTTTTTAAACTTTTTCAGTTATGTATAGAATTTCATGTAGCTTTGACTTTATATGCGGACTTACCTGCAGATTTTCTTACAGAATTATCCGCGGAAGGTCATCCGCAGATAAATCCACAAGTAATCTGTAGGAAATGTCAAATCTGCAGAGAAATCTACAGGTATATAGAAAAAATTGAAAAAAAATTTAAGAGATGATTAGACGTCATTTCACTTGACGACTCTTTTAAAAAAATCAATGCATATGCCATCTGAGATGACTACTGTATTATAACGTTTTCTGAAACATGACTATTTGTTTAAATTTCTCCGAAACATATAGTTATTTGTGTATTTTTTTTCAAAACATGGTTATTATTAGAAAAAATTTCTATGTTTTGTATGCTTGTTAGTATACTTAAATATTTATTTTATATATAATTAAATATAAAAAATATTTATTTATATTAATATTTAGATAAATATTTTAAATAAATATTTTTAAGTAGAATAACATATTAAAAATAAAATATACTTTTAATTTTGATATTTAACATGATATTTTGAATATTATATGATTTATAGTGTATTTCAGTTTTTTTGTTTGGTAAATATATCTTATTTTAGTTATAGTTTATAATAATATATTTAATTATATAAATAATAACAATGTAGGTTAAAAATTATAAATTACTTAAAATGTTAGAAAATTTATAATTTAAAATAAATTACAAAATAAAAATAATAAAAAAATTTCACATTTATTTAAGTAAACAAATTAGACCCAATTTTTTTATGGTGGCTTCAATCTATGATTGATTGTATATATAAGATTTACTTAATTTGGAAAAATAAAAATAACAATGAAATTTGAAAAAAAATTATTTCATAATTGATTTGAAAAATAACCATATAACTAATTAAAAAAGAGTGAAGGACTAGAAAAAAATCAAAATCAATCAGATCAAGTTCTTTAATCACTTAGATTTTTCTCCTTTTACAAAATAATCAATAACTTGTGCACCTTGATAAATCGAGTTAATTTTTTTAATTATTAATTTATAAATATCAATAATTAGTTTACATTAATCCATCGCAAAAAATTGAACATTAAACTAGTTGAAAACTGCAGCTTACTAGTTGTGTAAAAAAAAAGTAACAGATACTAGTTTAAAATGAAATACTACATTTTATTAATCTGATATTTGCGACTTATATCATGTACAGAAGACGTAAATCTTACCACTGAGATGACACCTCTTGGACGTGTACAAAGGGAGTAATACAAATTAATCAATGTAGAATTGTTAGCTTATCAATTTATCATAAACTAACATAAGCAATATAATTTTTCAGTTACAGGAGTGATGGCTGGAGCACTCTTATTCATAAAGGAAGAACTTGGAATCACTGACATGCAAGTGCAACTTCTAGCAGGAATCTTAAATGTGTGTGCATTACCTGCATGCATGGTAGCTGGAAGGACATCCGATTACATAGGTCGACGCTACACCATCATTTTATCCGCCATAATCTTCTTCTTAGGCTCAATCTTAATGGGGTATGGGCCAAATTTTCCAATCTTAATGATTGGAAGATGCATTGCAGGATTCGGTGTAGGGTTTGCACTTATTATAACACCAGTTTATAGTGCAGAAATTTCATCTCCTTCTTATAGAGGCTTTTTAACTTCTCTCCCTGATGTTTCCATCAATGCAGGTAACTTCTATTACAGTTTGACCTAACTCATCCTTACAAATATTCCTATAATCTAAGAGTTTTTTCCTTCACCAGGATTTAAATCTTAGTCGTTTAACTCCTTCAACTCAATGCAGGTTTCTTATTTGGTTATGTTTCAAATTTTTTCCTTGGAAAATTGTCTTTAAGACTTGGATGGAGAATAATGCTTGCTATTCCTGCAATTCCTTCACTTGGATTGATAATTCTAATGTTAAAATTGGTAGAATCTCCGAGATGGTTAGTATTGCAAGGACGTTTAGATGATGCTAGAAAAATTCTTTTACTAATCTCCAATTCAAAAGAAGAAGCTGAACAAAGGTTAAAGGAAATCAAAGTCGCTGTTGGAATCGATGAAAATTGCATGCAAAGCATTGTTCATGTTCCACAGAAAACGCGTAACGGTGGAGGAGCTTTAAAGGAAATGTTTTACAAACCTTCGCCTCATGTGTATAAGATACTATTTGCAGCTATTGGTGTGCATGTGTTTCAACAAATATGTGGAATTGAAGGTATTTTGTTATATAGTCCAAGAGTTTTTGAAAGAGTAGGAATCACTGAGAAAAGTACACTTCTTTTAGCGACGGTTGGGATCGGAATAAGCCAAACTTTATTCACATTGTTATCAAGTTTGTTGTTGGATAGAATTGGGAGAAGGACATTATTGTTGGTTAGTTCAGGAGGTGTGGTTGTGACATGGTTAGGGTTGAGTATTTCTTCAGCTATAGTTGAAAGTTCTAAACTAGGAGAAGAACCATTATGGGCCATAGTTTTTATTGTTGTTGTTATGTACGTTTTGGTGGCTTTTGTTGCAATTGGAATTGGACCTGTGACATGGGTTTATAGCTCTGAGATATTTCCACTAAGGTTGAGAGCACAAGGTTTGGGGGTTTGTGTGGCTGTGAATAGAGTTACAAATGTGGCAGTGGTTACAAGTTTTATTTCAATTTATAAGACCATAACATTAGGTGGAACTTTCTTTATGCTTGTGGGGATTAATGCTTTGGCTTGGTGGTTTTACTATTCTTTCTTGCCTGAAACTAAGGGAAGATCATTAGAAGATATGGAGACTATCTTTGGGAAAGATTCTAAGTGTGAGGTGCAAATGAAATTTGGAAGCAACAATGCATAGTTTGGGATCAAGACTCTATTTTTACTTTGAAATAAAAATTTAAAGTAAGAGGATGTCGCGTTTTAGATATAAAAAAGTCGGTCGCCCTAGTATATAACAGAAAAAATGTTTGAACTAAGTGAGATCGTAACACATTTACCTCGCTTTAAATTGACTAATGCGTACATTGATAATGTAACATGTCAGTACAAATTAACCTAATTGAAGGCTCTTTGTATCTAGCTTATCTTTAAAGAAAATAAGTGCAAACAATGTTACCATTAGTTCAATTTAAGTTAATGAATATGTGGCTCATCTTCTTATCTAAGGCCTTGATCATGTTGGTATATGGATTAGACCAGGTCTTCAAAACTCTAGATTCCATATACTTGGTCCTACTTCAAGTTTCAAAGTCATTCACTCAAGTCATTTACTTATAAAGCAATCTTTTCAAGTGGCATGACAATATTATTAGACTTTGTAATAATATAAAGAAATGGAACTATGATTCTTTTGGGAACATTTTTCATAGAAAGAACTGCATTATTTGTGGTCTTCAAGGAATCAACGTTGTGTAGTGGAGGTTTCGATTTAGTATAGTGCAGCGCCATTAGGATTGTTCCTTGGTTTTCTTTTTATTTCCTTATTTATATAAAAAAAAATAGCACGCGACCTTCTACTTTTCATTTTAAAAAATACATTATTTCTCTTATCTCCCTTCTACTACATTTAGTTTTGTCTCCCCTTTTATGAATGTCTCTTTCTTGTTCAATTTCACACATTTATGTTAGAATTACATTAAATTTATAGAGAATTCTGAATCAATTTTGATGAATAAAATTCAATTTATCAATCGAATTCGTCTCTTGTTTTTTACTCTTCACTCGAGTAAATCAACAAATCTTAGTTACAAGATGATTCTGCTGCACAATTAATAATCACTACAAAAAAAGCCCAGCTACAACGTGATTATCACGTCACAATGTGTTTTTTGCGACGTGACTAATTACATTGCAGGGGAGCGCGTGGAAACTTTGTTGCGACGTGATTTTCATGTCACAAAGTTGTGACGTGAAAATCACATCACAACATGTTTACACAAAAATCATAACATTGCAGTAGGAGCAGGCATAGCAATCAGAGCAACAACTTTTGTTACCATGTGATTTTCACGTTACATCACTAATTAGTTCTATTTTACAAAGAAGTGTACTAACATGATTTTCTTTTTCTTTTTTTAATTAAAATTTTAAAGTTGCGACGTGATTTACACGTCATTAATGTTTTTTTTCTTCTTTTTTTTATAATTTTTTTATTATTAAAACAAAATATATATTAATAAATTAAATTAATAAATTAAATTAATAAAATTAATTAATAAAATGAATATACTAAATATATAAATTAATAAATTAAATATAATAAAATTAATAAACTAAAATTATAAATTTAAGATTTCTTAATTTAATATACTAAATAGGTTTAATTAATATGTTACACAAATTCAAATTTAAAAGCAAAATAAAAATAAAATTAATTCAACGAGTCATTTTGGTCGGAATAGTTGTCAATGTCAAAATTATCTTCGTTTCTGTCATTCTCCGGCTCTTGACCATGAACATTTTGATTTCCACCAAACCCTTGCATAAATTGCCTCACTTGCTGCTCCATATTTGCTGCTCCATAACATAAATTAAAGCAAAATTAGTGAAGAATATTACCTTTATAAATTGGAAGTAGAATATAAATTGAGATACAGGTGTATAGTAGAGATGGTGAGAAACAGAGAGAAGGAAGAAGAAGAAAACAAATAAGCTTTGCCGCTAAGATGTTTCTGTGAAACGAAAAAAAATTATATAAGTCAATCAACGACGTGAAAATCACGTCGCAACCTTGCAACGTGATTTTCTCGTTGCAAATTCCCAACGGTCATAAAATTTTATTTATGACGCTGCACCCACCTGCACCCAATCAAAATCAGGTCATACTGGTTTCCCCCCTAAAAGGTTACGACGCAGGAATCACGTCACAATTTTTTTTTACAAAATATTATCTGACTCCCCATGTACTAACGTTAGTTTTTATTTTTTATTATTAAAATCATGTAGTGATGTGACTATCACGTACAATCTCACTTTTTTTGCAATGTGATAATCACGTCACAACTCCATTTTGTCGGGGAGCACTTTTCTTGTAGTGAATGGATAAGAAACAAATAAACGATGAATTGGGGAAGAAAGGTGAACTAGGAAGAAGAATAATTATGAATTCTGCAGAGAAAATCCTCGGCTCTTTTACTTTGCAAACTGCAATATTATTCACACTATTTTACAATAATAGAGTTCCTCACTATTTATAGATTGATATTTCTTACACACCAAGCAACCTTCAACTAACCTAACTAACATCACACAAAAATGCTAAGTTGAAATTTTTGTCGAGTTACACTACTTCGACATTTCAACAACAGTAGGTGATTCGACATCAACATGCTTCGACACCATGAATTACATTCTCTATACACCATATAATTCATTATGTATAAGTGTTCTGGATTGGTCCAATGACTAGAATTGGCCCAATCTACTTCTACCTTCAACATGGCCCAACAACTTTGTCCCACTTGCTCTGTCCCTTTAGTCAGGCACACTTGGTCGACTGAACCCCATGAATGGAGAAACCAACAATTCCATGATCCATATGCCTACTCGCATCGGCAACTACCTTCAGGCCTGCTCGACACACGTAGAGCAGACAACCATAAAACGTCCATAACCCATATGTACATAATCTCTACCTTGCTCGGAGCAACGACTAGTTACGACCATGATTGTCGGTTTTGACTGAGTCTTGGCAGTTACCTATTTTCGAGGAACCTAATATTTATGCCTAAAAATAGGAACCAATGGCCAAGCACCCGAGGAACTATATAAACCCTCACACTTGTGAGGGCCGGGTATCCAAGATTCACTCTAAAAACCCTAATCTCTTTCTTGTATCTCCTTGCGCTCTTTCTTACTTGAGCGTCAGAGTGCCTTGCAGGTACACCCCCTCCTCTCCTCAAATTTCCAGCCAAGCAGACGTCATCTTCTCAGCCAACTTTAGGTTCTGATCAACCGGAAAGATCAGTAGCACCGTCTGTGGGAAACTATCTTCCCCATCTCCCTTTTCCTCAAAATTGAAGACCAAATCGACTTTCAAGACTCCTATCATAGCCGACCATGACGGCAACCACTTTTCTGGAAAGACTGTGCTCTCCCCCATCCACATGACGGATGGGAACGAAGAACATCCTCATCTCGAGGACATCCCTGACATCAGAGATGGCCAAAATGTGTCTCCTAACTTGATCGACGCCAATCGCAAAGACATTCATTTCTTAGAGAACCAGAGGTCCAAGAAGTCCACCGAAGAGCAATTGTCAGCAATCCTTCAACCAGTTCTGATTCCATCCAATGCTGACCCGACCATGGCAGCTCTACTCGCTGCCCTCAATTAGACCAACGCTCTGATACTACAACAAAACAACAAGGTTGAGGCTTGGGAAAAGAAGAAGCCAAAGTCCCCTCTTCGGAGACACCGGCGTCATGACTCCCATAGTCTGTCACTGCCAAGACGCGGCCGTCTTCCCATGCTAGAGAAGAAAGAGGTTTCTTTCCTCAAGAAACAAGGTCGCACACCACCCCATAAAGAGAGACGCTCCCCCATCAACAAGAATATGAAGGGTGATCGACGATCGGACAACGACCGCTAACCATCACCCAGACCAAGGCGTAATCAAAGGAGCATATCTCCTCGTCGGGATAACAGCCCTAGAGAGGAGACAACTGTTACTCTCCAACCTCATCACCTGATAAGAGCGACGATGATGATCCTTACGGTCCTTTGTCTAGAGAAACCATGGAGATTCCCCTGCTCGTTGGGTTGGAGAAACCCCTCGATTAGGAACGTACGACAGAACCACTGACCCCGACGAGCATATCGAGAACATTGATGCTCTGATCGACTACAGAGGAGCCAGAGGAGCGATCAAATTCATACTTTTCCCTACAACACTCAGAAAAGGAGCCTTGACTTGGTACAAAAGTATTCCCGATGAATCCATCACGTCATGGAAGAACTTGGGAAAACAATTTTCTAGGCATTTTACGGCATCTGGCTGACATCCCAAATCAGAAGCGTCGCTGGAGGCCATCATCCAAAGGAAGGATGACTCACTCCGAGCATACATTAAAAGATTTAACAAAGAAGCTGTCCAGGTCTCCATGACCGACGGGATGAAGAAGTACCTCCTCGAGTGAGGCTTACGCCATCGCAGTGACTATGCCAAGGCACTTGGCATGGAAATTCCTGCAACGCTGGATTCTCTCCTGCTCAAGCACATGCGTACATCCCGTACAAGGAGAAGGAAGCTTCCAACAACGTACGAGACTCGCGGCATCGCGAGAATGAAAAAGTTTCAAAGAGCGATGACCCCTCGACATCCCATCAGGGAGCAGAAAAGAAAAGGGAGGACAAGTCCCGCCATTCGAGAGACTACAAGGGGCCAGCTAGTCGGTTCCATGACTATACCCCTCTCAACACTTCACGCGAGCAAATTCTGACCGGTTGAGCAAACACAGAGTTCAAACAAGCTAGAGTCTGCTTTCCCCGCCAAACATCGTCCAAGCCAGGGACAGTCAAAAGCAAATACTTTCAGTTCCACAAGAGCCACATGCAGACAACAAAAGATTGCATCCATCTGAAGGATGCCATAGAGATCCTCATCCGAGATGGGCATCTCAAGCAATATAAAAATAAGGACGACCCCCGCGAAGACACCCAAGATTCCAAGAAAGACGAGGAAGAGAAGCCTTCCCTCAATGAAACCCTCATGCCCATCGCTATGAGCATCAACAGGCTGGAAGATTTCTACATCCCCGACCTGGATGAAATCCCCTTGTACTTCGCAACGCACAGTCCTTGGGAGAAATTTTTGTCAATGATGATCATATCCGGAGAGGGCTTTAATAAATGTAATG